GAGAGAGAGAGAGAATAAAAAGTCTATTCCACGTTTTTTTCGTTCAACGCGTCTTTTCTCGCTATTCGTTGGTTTATATTCGTTCGCGAAGTAATTTCGGTGGCCGTGGCACGTCCGCTCTCTTTTGCAAATATTGATCGTGAAAAAATAGGAGTCTGTGTCTCCGATACGAAGACAGCTTCAACAGGGCGTGTGGAATCGAATTTCTCATCTGGGAATCTGGGTCGAGGAATATATCGTTGTGTTACCGTAGAATGTCGGTGATTATTCGATACAAATTCAACTTACTCTCTAGCACGGTTAGGAAGGGGAAAAAAGAAAAGGAAGAGAGAAAAGAAAAATAGAAAGCATCTGTTGGAGAAGTTATTGAAAAGGAGCGATCCAATATCTGGCTCTCTTTGAACGGAAAATTGCGTGTCGCTACGTAAGGCAATTAAAAAAAACATTTTCACCGGCCGCGTGAAAAAATATATGATCGTCGCGAAACTCGTGGAAAAATACTCGAATTGTTGGAATTGTTCGAATTTTATTATCGATCGATAGAGGATAGTTTCGGTTAGAATTGGATTCTGGTTTTGGTTGGGATACGGCTGGTTATAATTCACGTGTATTGGATGCATAAACGGCGTTCGTTGTTGCCGCCAAAGTTGACAAAACGAATGAGAAACGCGGCAAGCGTTTTGCCGATCCCTGTTAATCGACTGCAAGCACTTCACTCCGGCCGGGATCATTTCCGCTAGGAACGTTCCGCAAATTGAGTTCGTCACGGTCCGGTGAATTAACGTCTAATAGTCTGTTCCGAGGATGGAATTAATTACTTCAGCTTCTCCAGTCTTTGGTATTAAATGCGCGAATTAACATTCTGAAATAACGACGAGCAGGCCAGATTAGTTTCATCCGATCCACGCGTTACACGAGTTACACTTTGACGCGCATTTTGTCGGCTCGCTTTTGTATTTTACTTCCGATCCTCGATACTTGGACTTGAACCGTTTCGCGTGTTCGTTCACCCGAGTTCGATAATTCAATAACTCGTGGGAATCGAAGGGAAATCGGTCTTTGGACCGATATTGACTGGGGGGGAATCGGACGAAATTCGATGTTTGTTTGAACCGAAATCGGGATACGATTCGATTGATTTTTTAAATCGGGCGAGCAAGCGAATAAACGGAGATAAATTTTAGATAAACTTAGAAATTAGATCGTTAGGGGAGGAAAGGTGTTTCGCAAGGAATTAAAAGTTGTACTCGCAAGAGGAAACTTCCGTGAAACGACTACTCTGGAAATGGAAAAAAAGGAATCGGGAGGAGGAACGTTATTGATTCGCCAAAGTACTCGAAGAATCTTATTGTACTCGTGGACGGACTACAAGTACACTCGAGAACACTTGTAGAACGTTGGATACCGGTCTTAGATTTCACCGTACATTACATTTTATCGTACAAATTTCATCCGCTAGTGATGATAAATTTCACATTCGATCTCGAGTCTTTTTTTGCCTAAAAGTAATGATCCGCCCGAATTTCTTAAATTTTCAAAAATTTCTCGTTCGTTCTTCGTATCTGAAATAAATCATCGTCGTCGTCAACGACAACGACGACAGCTTCCACGTCTGATCGCATCTATCCGAAAGAAAAGAAAGCATCGTAACCATCGTTGGATCTCGAGGCTGAATCGTTCGACAATATTTTCGATCGATCGACGAAAATGGGCCGGTTCGGGCCGCGTCTGGCTCCAAAGTGGCTATATCTCGGTGTCAAGAGCCGGAGTCAGGGATGTCGGGTGACATTGACCGCGGGAGCAACCCCCGTGGAGGGTCGACGAGGTTTTCGCTGGCGCGTGGAAACGGCGCTTGCGCCCGCCACGTTCTCGTGCAGCCGGGTCCGCGAAGAAAGGGGCGACGGGGTAAAACACAGTACGACCCCGGACGGCCAAGGGGTAACGACACGTTCACCCGACTTAAAAACAATTCCCTTCCTCCACGAACGAGTTCCCGCGGACAGTCGATCGCGATTTCTCGTCGATCGCCACGGATCGAGAGTATCTCGACGCGACACCATCGCGTCTCGGTGGACATCGAGTCGGCGTCGATCCCGTTTTGCGCGCGTCAAACACCCGTCTCCTACTACCCGGCAACCTTTTGCCCGTGTCCCCGTTGGTACCCGTTAGATACGCCTAGACACGTCGGTTCATCCTCGTTTTTCCGCCTTTTTTTTTTTGGTGGGTGATCAAGTGTGGTGAATTCAACTGCGTGAAAACGTGTGCCCGGGTCTCGCCTCGAGTCGCATGGCTTTGTTATGAAACACGTTATGTAAGTATTTACGATGCCACGTAACGTAAATTCGTACTTTTTACTACTTTTGGGGCGAGTGGAGGAGTAGTTTAGAGGTTTTGGCTTTGCTTCGCGTAGCGCGAAACGGAGCCGCGGCACACCTCGTGGTCCCGGCATCTCGACCCGGCATTGCTGTTTATACATAGATTTATCTTATTGAAGAAATCTGGAGAAGGAAAAAACCGAATGGAAAAAATCGTTTCGTTCCGTACGTATTCCGCTTAATTAACGATGCTTTACGCTTTTAACGGATAAAAATACGGAATTATCGACAGCGATAGCTTTTGGTCGGATAATTCGACCGATGAAATGCACACGCGTATCAATCTCGCATTTCGAGATACGGTTAATTTTAAACGAATCGAGCGGGGATGAACGGTTGAAACGAACGAAAAAGGTGCACAAAAAATGGATACGTGATGGATCGAATCTTATCGGTATTTAATTCGGTCTGGTGGGCAACGCTCGAATAAGACGTAGACCTCTCTTTTTCCTTCGCTTTTTCACGAGGTTTTCACGATTCTGTGCGTATCGGGACGGCGGGCTGAATAGACGACGCGGGCTCTCATATTCGACAATTCGTATGCACGGCTCATCGTCGAACGTTCCGGTTGGTCGATTGTTCGAAAGACAATGATTACCAGCGATTTCGATACGTTTCATCGATATCGTATCGTATAAGAGGAAAGCGAAACCTCGATTTTTTCTCTCTCTCTCTTTCCCCAATCTTCCGTTCGTACATGATCCCTATGATGAATGGAAATTTTAAAATCGTCTAAGAACGATATACGATATAGTCACACTCGTTGTTTCGTTGCATCGATTAGATATCATTAGTTAGATTTCGACCGATAATTTTTCGTTTCGTATATATGCATGGATTATTCGATTAATATTTGTAACGTAATCGGGCAATTATTCGCGATTAATTGATTCAAATGAAAGCTTCTAATTACCAGGAAAGACAGAGGGGGTGAGGGACGAGTGACGTGTCACGGGTTTTCCCCGGTTGGAATTTCAATGCCGCTTCAGTGTCGCTAAATAGCCAAATAAAATATTTGCACTCGATCGATTGCGTTTGAAAATTTCGCGTGGAAAATTTCGGGTATGTAAAACACGATCCGAACGAACGGAATAACATCTCGTTTAATCATCCTCCGCCGACAGCTACATTATTAACCGGGATTCTAGGTCGTTGGATTGTTCACACGTAGCCTCTAATAATCTGAGATCGATTTGTTCGATGAGCGACGATTGGTTGTGGAGGAACGGTTGTCGAATAGGCCTGGCGTTGTTGGCTTATAAATTAGACAACGGATGGAGATTAGAGAACGTCGAACGTATCGACGTTTCGCGAATCGATGATCGATTTTCCTTCCCTCCAACCGTGACTGTTCCACATTCGATCCATCCCTCGTTTTCCTGGAAAGAAAGGAATCTCCATCCCGCAACGTTCATATCCCAACAAACAAAATTTCGGTGCTCATCGTGTAGACAGTGGCTCCGTTCCACGCAATTAGTTTAACACTTAACGCGCTAAAGCGAATCACGTCGTGCCATCGTTAATTTGAATTTGCTGATGTTATCACGATGCATCAGCTAAGTAAGCGCGTTTCTGTCCTGAATGCATTCTGCGCTCCCGTTTTGCGCAAATTTCGAACGTCTCTCTCTCTCTCTCTCTCT